TACACACACACACACACACACACACACACACACACACACACACACACACACACACACACACACATATATATATATATATACTTGACACTGGTTTGTCATCCAATGACAAATGTATGAAAGTACGTATTTATACGAATGTCTGTACAGATATATACTAACACCATACAAGTTTATCATAGTGTTGGATTGTAGATGGTAAGTGGTAAGGGGTGGTGTAGCATTTAGGGTTATAGGGTTTTAGTCTGTGTGATAATGTTTAGACCACGCACAGATACAAACTATAACAAACATGGCCCTATTATACACACACTATAACAAGCTTCATCGTACTATCCCAAACCACGTACACACACAAACTATTACACACTTAACATCGCACGCACATGTGTTGTATAGCTCTAGGCGGTAGGGTAGCTAGGGGTTAGGTTTTAGGGTTTAGGGTTTAGGTTTGCGTACCTCAGAGGTTTGTATACAATGTGCAGTGCGGACTGATCAAAGCCTTCGAACCAACTCTCCACCGACAGGCGGCGGTAGTCACGACCGCGCGAGTGCAGCACCAGAAACTGCACCATACTACACTTGGGAATAGCCCGTCGCAACGCCTGAAGGTAGGTAGAATAAGTGATACTTTTAATAAAACGTATGCGTCGGTTAGGGTAGGTAAAAAGAGTGTATCTACTATTACAACATATGCATACGGTGCCGCTGGTAGTACACTGGACACTCTATACCCTACACCCTTTGCCCATCATGAGCTAATTCTGCCGCTGCGTAGTACTTGGGTTTCGGGTTTTATGGGGTTTGAAGCCCTAAACCTTTCATAGCAGTATACATAACCTGCTTTCTTACTATATCATAATACATCACTTGCGTACTTACTATATCACAATACATCACCTGCTTACTTACTATATCATAATACATCACTTGCATACTTACTATATCCCAATACATCACTTGCTTACTTACTATATCATAATACATCAATTGCTTACTTACTATATCACAATACATCACTTACTTACTTACTATATCACAATACATCACTTACTTACTTACTATATCACAATACATCACTTACTTACTTACTATATCACGATACATCCCTTGCTTTCCTTCTTTACACTATACCCCACCTCCTATCCTGCCCTACCCTGTCTCTCCCTGCCATAGCCACATGCCACCCACCTGATCGTGACAGCCCATGGCCAGAGTGACCAGCGCCTCTCTCTTTGGTTTGTTGCTCATGACCAGCTGCAGCAGTTCTTTGTGGTACGCCTGTCGAGACGCGTGTGTGCTGTACGGCCCCTCCACCACACCATACGTACTGGAGCGTGCACTGACATCACTCTCACTCAGTCCGTCTCTATCGCGTGCTACAGATAGAAACAGCATGTCTTTGTACCGTTGGTTGTGGCCGCTGGTGTGTCCGCTGTTGTTGGCACTGTTGCATGAGATGAGGTCGGGTGTGCGTGTCCCCATACCTGTGTGTGTTGTTGGTTGTATGGGTGTGTGCTCAGTGGGTTATATAGATGAGTATATATATATATATATGTATATGTACATATATATAAATACATACATACATACATACATACATATATACATACATACATACACACACACATATATATATATTCATATATATAAATAT